AAAAAAAAATATACACAGATAAGATCTTTTCATCCTGTGGTCTGTTCTGTCAGTCCTGTAGTGCAAGCACATGTTATATATTCCAGAAAAAAATAATTTGAATCAAAGTCATTTTGTTCCACAAATATTTATTTAAAATCTATTTTAAAAAGAAAAGAAACAGTCACTAGCTCAGTCGCTGATTCTCATTCAAAGTAAAGCTGTGACTTCCAGGCTTAGCCAAGTGGAGAACTGAAGCAGCTATCTAGATGTGTCAGGCCAGAGCCCTGCTACAGAAGAAAAATGATTCGGGGTTGCTTTTAAACTGAATTTTCCAGTGTTTTTCCTCTTTAAGTCCTTTGAATTTACCATTTTCTAAATCCTTTAAATATACAGTTTTTTGTTCTCATTACCTGTGTTGATATAGGAGGATTCTTTTTAAGATGACAAGAAAGAATAATGTCTTTGGAATCTGCATAGGTTATGTTATTGTAACTGAGGACAATAGTTTTCATTAGCTGGCTTTTCAGAGACCCATATAAATTATTATCAGTATTATCAAGGAAGTTGTCTGTCATTGGGGTTTTTTTTCAAGCTTCCTTGCTTCCAGCCATATTGTCCTCGTTATCCTTGGGGTGACTCAAACCATTTGTCTGGTCTTTCCTTCCTGTCTTTGTGTAGAGATGTCTCAGCTGTCCAGCGGGCTACTGACTGTGTTTTTGAAATAACGTTATTTTTCAGATGTCGAACTCTCTCAGGTTCGCCCAGGCCAAAGAACTTCAAGAAGATTCATTTTATCAAGAATATGCGGCAACACGACACCAGGAATGGCAGGTACTACATTAACGAGCTGCTTGCCAGGCTCCCAGTTGTAGAAAGGCGTGAGTCCAGTGGGGAAGGGAGGATGGGACTGTTTGAATGACCAGACCTCAGCCTCGTGAAGCCCATGCTGTTAAGATGAACAGGATCTCTTGTAACCTTCCCAAATAGACTAGTTCCACCCCACTCCCATCAGAATCATCCAGAGAAGTCTACAGGAAATAATGCTCCCTAAGACTGACCACAGGCCTGGTGAGATTTTTTAGATTAACCACAAACTGAATTTTTAATAGTACTCAAATATATTTTTATAGAAAACTTTGAACAGAAAAACAGTTGAGTTTTGTTTTGGGCTCCCCCCCCCCCCGTTTTTCTGCTTTGTTGGGTATTGTTTTCTTTTTTCACCGGGGCTGTGTGCTTTGGTCAATAAATGTCCCACCAGATGCACTTGGTTTTGGTGCTAGCTTTGAAGACTTTTAGGAAAGTAGCGTCATGACTTTGCCAGCAGATTCTCTTGGGCACTAATTCAGATTCCCCTGCTGCTGACATCTGGAGCACGTGTTTCACCAGCTCTTCAGTTGCTCTTTTGGAAAGTGCTGTTTAAATGAAAATTGTCGCAGTTGAAATTTATATGACCTTGATATTAAAACTATCCTAGTGACAAATAGAGCAGAGTCATTATGGCTGGCACGTTTGTGATTGAATAGCTAAGTCCATTCATGGCAGCCTGAGGGTGGCGCTGGAGCAGAGCTCCAAGATTTCTTGGGGTTTCCTGATGCTCTTACCCCTCTATACTCCTTAGAGACAACCCCTCCCCACTGACTTGTGACCTGGATAGTGGGTTCCCTTGAATGGGGGAGTTGTAGACCCATCCCAGAGCAGAGGTCCTGCTCAGAGACCATATTGTTTGAGCTCCTGAATTACAGAAGGCCACTAGTACTCTAATCTATACCAACTGAAAATTGCTAAAACGTCGTCAGACTCATGGAATGATTAAGGCCGAGTGTTACTGTAATTTGGTGTAAAACACACTATACAACGTGAATAATACACTAACAACTACAATTTTTAAAGACTTGTTTTCTTGAAGTTTATGCACAATTTTAAAACCTTAGTTGCACAGGGAACAATTCTATGGCTATACAGTGATTTCGGAATAGCAAAATTGAGCTCTCTCATCAAATAATTTTTACATAGTCAGTATATATTTCTATTTTAAGTACAGAGCTTTTGTTAAAACGTTCCCAACTATCATCTGTTAAATAAAATATTCTGAATGCCTCTCTCTCTCTCCTCCTTACTCTCACTGTTACAATTATTGTGCTTCATTCATTTAACCACTGTTTTTCTTGTCTTTTATGGCTCTTAATTACCAAATCCAAACCTTACTCATGCCATTTTTACCATAATTGTTCATCATTTATTTACATTTGTGTTTGTTTCCATAATCTCTTTAACCATAAGATAAGCATAGAAAGCCGTTAATTCCTAAATAAAATCAATGACAAAGCCAAATGAATGGGCCACATTAATAGTATTCCCCACATCCTGGTGCTGTCAAAGATAACTACGTCAGATAATCACCTGGCATGGTTCAGTAGTGAGAGGATGTAGTGAATAAAAGATTTGGACTAACTGGATTGCTGGTGTACATCATGAAGCTACCTTCCTCGGCGCGCCCTTGACCCAGAAACAATATAAACTGTCCGAAAGCATGCAGTTTTGCTGGGGAACTTTCAGAGGGAGCCAGGAGAGACTGTTAGCTTATCTGAAGATCTGAGAACTGGAATTTAGGACAGGAAAGCAAGCTCTTGGAGCTGTTGTGGGAACCACAGGCAGGAGGCTGTGAGATGGCCAGTTGTAACTGCCCAGGTGAGAACTGCTTTTCCTGTGCCAAAGAAAGACGAAAGGACTGGGGGTGCTCTCCTTCCCCCGCTCTGGTTTATGAGCAGGCTGTTCTTAGATGAAAGAAAGAATCCGGGAGGATACCAGGAAGAAAGGAGGATTTCTGAGGTGACAGAAGGAAATTGTGGCCACGAGCTGATGAATGGGAGGATGTGACCCAGCCTTTCGAGAAAGGAAAGGAGAATTGCCCCCATTGCCGCTGGGCAGCAGGCGTGAGACTGTCCTGATGGAGGGTTGCTTGGGACACGTGGCTAAGCTCCAGTCCAGCAGTGGTGGGTGGGAGGGGTCCTGAGCTGAGATCCTCCTGCTCAGAAGGGAGGGGCTGGTGCCGAGGCTGGGGAGGGGTCACTGGTTCCCCCGCTTCGGGTGTACAGGGACATATACAACAGCGCACAAGAGGAGCACCCGCCTCAGGTTTGCCTGCCTGTGTCGGGGAGGAATGAAGTGTTACAGAAAAGGCTGGAGGTCTTCATAAAGACCTTGAAGGCCTGGACTGGAAACACAATGGCCTGTTACTGGAGCGTTCGCCTATCCTGACACCCAGGGAAGAGAGACTGAAAAGGAGCCTGCACAGCCCCAAGTCTCACAACAGGCTCCCCAAGCCTGGGCGGTTTCGGTCCCTGCTCCGGCCCCTACTTCTGCCCAAACGCTGTGCCCAGCTCCCGAGTCTCCTTGTGACTTCTGATCAGCACAGACCAGCCTCTCAGACCGCAGGCCAGACCTGGGGCCTGCTTGCTGTTGGCTCTGAAGACTCTGGTGTTGCGGTGCCTCCATCCCCAAGCCCACTGGCGTGTGGCAGGAGCCTAGCATCCAGGATGATTTGGGCTCCTGTCTCAGCAAGGAGTGCAGCTGACAGGATGAGAGGGGAGCGTCTGTCTTGAGACTCCTTGTCTGACCTGACTGTGAGTGTTAAATTTTAAGATAGGGGAAAAGATAATAGAAACTGAGCACCAAATATGGTAATAAAAGACAATACTTGTGTTATTGACAAAGCAAAACACCCAAGTCGACCTCATGATCAGTAATATCAGGATAGCTGCTTAGAACTAGAGCTTGGGGCCTTGGGTGGCTCCGTGCTCACAAAGTTCTTTCTCTGACATTAGACAAGTCCCAGCTGGCATGTGAACCACACTAGAAGGTTTGGCTCTGATGAAAGATGGAGTCTCCTTGAAGTAAAAATCACCTTCATCTGTCTGAAATCAGTGAATTCTGTGAGGCTGGATTAGGGACCTGCTAGAAGGCTTTGTGCGTGGCTAAAGTGCAAAGAACCAAGCCGAGTGTGTTCTGGAGTCATGCTGCAGACCCCTGGTCCAGGTGGAGCTAAGGATGGAGCCTGGACACAGTTGACAGACCCAGCAATGGAAGCGTCTGCTCCACTGTTCGAACCAGACGGTGTGATGAGTTCTTTACTGGCCCTGCTGGGTGTTGCATCTTCTAGCAGGTAGGGAAAGGGGTGACAGGAGCTGCCACACTCCAGTTCTTCTTCTGCCTTACCACAGAGACAGACTGGTGATGGGGAAGTCCTGTTGGACTTGGTAGTTGGGAAAGAAAACAATGCTTGACTAGATTTTAGGAAGACAGATTTCAGAAAGTTCAAACTAAGAAATGGATTCTTGTAGCTGTTACCATACTGCCAAAAGGGATTATAAAATTATGAATATCATCAAGTGATCATGGGTGCCAGGCTCTAAATTCTTGATCAGCTTTCTTTCATTAATTTAAGTCAATGGATGTTTGTTGAGTAAATAAATGAGTGGAAAGACCTTTTAATGAGTTTCAATCTTTAGGACTAAATCTAGAAAAATGGAAAGAATTTAGAAATACACATAATCCTTGAAATAACCTTATCAGGGAATTGTTACTATTGTGTTAGTCAGAATAATGGCCCCCTGCCCCACCCAAAGAAGTCCCTGTCATATCTCCAAGACCTGTGAATATGTTAGGTTATATGGTCATGGAGAATTAAGGTGACAGATGGGAGTTGAGATTGCTGATCAGCTATCCTTAAAATAGCAAGATTATCCTGGATTATCTGGGTGGTCTCCATTCAACATAAGGGTCCTTAAAAGTGGAAGAGTCAGTGTCAGCGTGATACATTGTGAGAAAGACTCAACTGTCCGTTACTGGCTTTGAAGATGGAGAAAGGGGCTATGAGCCAAGGAACGCAGCAGCCCCGAGAAGCCAGAAAACACAAGAAAGTGATTCTCCATTACAGCCTCCGCTGGGAACCAGCTCTGCCAACACCTTGACTTTAGCCCTAGGAAACCCATTTCAGACTTCTGACCTCCAGAACTACAAGAGAAGAAACGCAGGTTGTTTTAAGTCACTGAACTTGTGGTAGTCTGTTACCGCAGCCATAGGAAACTAAAACATTCCTCATCCCAATTTACAAAGGAAGAAACTGGAACATTTAGCAAGAAAGGGGACTGGGGTAGAGGTGGAATATAGATCCAGGCATCAGATTCCAAAGTTGCTTCTCATAACTGAAGGGAAGGGTGGGAGATTAAAAATCCGTACACTGTAAGACAGCATGTTGTGGTGAATTTTGAGAAAACTATTGAATTCTGATTTTTAAAAATCATTAGCTAAAGGCCAAAGACTGATGAAAGAGAGGCAAACACGTAAGAATACTGTGAGGAAGACTCAAGTCCAGAATAAACTAAAGAATGAATAAAGGAAAGAAACTTGGAACCTTTGTACATTGCTGGTGGGGATGTAAAGTGGTGCAATAATTGTGGAAAATAGTTCGGCAATGCCTCACAAAGTTAAACATAAAATTCCCATATGACCCAGCAATCCCACCACCAGGAATATGCCTAAAATAATTGAAAAGAGGAACTCAAACAGATACTTGTAACAAATGTTCATAGTAGCATTATTCACAGTAGCCAAAAGGTGGAAACAACCCAAGTGTCCATCAGCAGATGAATGAACAAAATGTGCTATGTAAATACATAGGAATATTACTCAGCCATAACAAGGGATGAAGTGCTGATATGTGCTACAATGTGTATGAACCTTGAAAACAGTATGCTGATTGAATTAAGCCAGACACAAAAAGCCACATAGTGTATGACTCCATTTATACAAAATATCCAGACTAGGTAAAT